CCTGTGGGCATGAGGGTGGCCATGGCCATTACTAATACCTGCTTCTGAGGCCTGGCTCTCCCAAGTCCGGGGGGCAGCACCTGCAGACTGCAGGGCACCGAGGATGTCCTTTGTTAGCTTTAAAGGGCAGCAACCAGGTGCCTGAGGGGCCTTACAGCAGGAATCTGCCAGGTGTCTGTGGACTCCACAATTCTAATAGGATACAAGTTGGAGAATCACTGCACTAAATTTTTTCAAACCAATTTAATCCTCTACGTCACCTTAAGAGGTAAATATTATGTTCGACAATTAGAAAGCAAGGCTCAATAGGCCAATTAAAAAATGTCTAGGTTCAAATCCATTGTCTTCCTACTAGCTGTGTGACCTTTGGGAAGGCACCTAACCTCTCTGAACCTCATCTTCATTGTTCTTATAGGACATCGCCTCTCTTGAAGGGTTGCTAAGAGTGTTAGAAGAAACAAACCAGAACAAGCGCTCAGTACTCACAAAAAAAGTCACAGTTTTTTTTCTAAATATCTATCAAACCACTTATTGGAAACAAAACACTACGTGATAAAAGTTTTTGAATGAGCATATCTTCATTGACTTGAACACATTTGATAAATGGTGGGAGAGTATATGGGCCAATATCTTATTGATTAACTCACCAGTGTTTTCATTTAATTTGAAGTCTTGAAAAGACAGATTGCTAGTAACACATAGCATCACTAGTAGTCAAAGTCCTGCCCTTCCTTCCAGAGAAAATTGGGGCTTTCTGCTCAGGAAAGGCCTTCCCCCACTCACACTCAAGACACACTGTGTTCACTTGGCAAACATTTGTTTATTTCTCATCTGCCATGTGCTAGGCACTGCGGATGTGGTGGTAAACAAAATAGAAAAATGACCCCTTAGTCTCAGAGAGAGAGACAGTAAACAAACAGATTTGCCTAATCTGGGGAAAGTCAGACATTCCTTAAACCTGGCAGAAGGAAAGGTCCGTGGGAAGACGTTTCCATCAGGTGGGATGGCCAAGGGCAGTCCAGGGATTCTTGGAGAAGAGGCGGGGATAGCCCCCTTGAGAATAGGTGGTCTGGGGTGACCCTTGCCAGCTCCCTACCCAATCCTGACTGTTGGAAACGGGGTGGGGAGGCTGGAGGACAAGAGAGCTGCCAATAAGCCCCTTCCGGGCTAGAGCAATTTGATCCCCGTGGCCCCGGGAGGTATACAGTTTGTAAGCTCCTGCTCTCCTGGCCTGCATTCTGGGATCGAAGGTGGAGAAGCAGCACAAGTTACATAAAAACTAAAGCAAAGCCGGGCGCTGCCTAGTTTACATCTGATTGTTGTTATTATCTGAAGCTCTTAGAAGCCTAATTTGACTACATGTCTCTGCTGATGCTTACTTTCTGATGGATTGTTTTCATGTGTGTTTTATAATTTGGGATTATGAGCTTCATCTGGCATGGCTTCATCACAGGACGCCTGCTTGGCCTGGTTGGAGGGTGTGTCCTAACAGACAGTTTTTACATTTACTTCCTGCCAGCAGCCCGTAAGTATTACAAGCTCAAGACTCCATTTATTTTAATATATTGGCTACCAGGAAGCATAAATTCAATACCCAAACCAGTCGGAGCAGGGAAGAACTTTTTTTTTAACTTACATAGAAACCAGGCCAAATAAACAAACTTTCTCGTTGTCTCTAGGTAGATTTTGGCTATTTCACACTCTCATTGAGGCACTAGTCCATCAGGTATTTTGGCTTTATGCGAGCATCTCAGTTTCTACTTCCTGGTTTACACAGGGTAACTTCTGCCCCCACCCCCACCCCACCACATCCATTAACATCCAAGTCCCTGGCTTATTGCAATTAGCAAACCCATTCTTGCCCCCAACCTCCTCTCCTACCAGAAAGCCTTCTGTTAACTTTCTTGCAAGGGAGATCTATCAGGGACTCAGCTGGGGATAGGAATCTGAACCTGGAGAGGAATACATGCCTCTCCAACCCAGGAGGCTGAGTGCTCAGCCTACAGCAGCTTCTGGCTAGATCTCAAAGGATGAAGTCCAAGGCTCCTTGTCTGTCCACTTCTGTTACTTTCATTCATTTTCCATTTGTACTGTAGGTGTCCTTAATTCCTCTTTTCCCTTTATCCTACATTGGTCTTTTGACAGCAGCTGGGCCATTTTTCACAATGGGTATTTCTGACTCCAATATATTTACTGAAAAATAAATGTGTTGTTTTATACCCTCAGACCATACACAGCAGAACCATTTGCTTAGATTTCATAGCACAGGAATATGTCCATTAGAGCGTCAAAGTGTCATAATTAAAATTGGCTTCACTTGTGGGGACTCATGATGCATCCATCTCAGCCCACACCTCCGCTCTGTGTAGAGGCCCCTGCTCAGGCCCCACCTCTCAGAACCACGTGTCAGAAAAGTAAGCCAACCTATCTGCTGACCCACTGGGATAACCAGTGTGAAGAACAGCCCTGAACAAGAGTCCAAATGCCAGGCATGCCCCCCACCTTGGTCAAGGTGACCTTCAGCTTTTTCCTGGAGTCTAAAGCAGAGGCCCCCTACCCTGTTGCCGTCCCTCTGGCCTCCTCTGGGCTCTGCTTGCGTTCAGTAGATCCACGCTCCTAGAACACACTCTTCTAGGGTAACCCCACACTGCTCGGAGGCTCTTGGGGTACCTTCCTGGGAAGCAAATGAGCATCAGGTTCTCAAGTCAAACTCCAACCCCCTTTCCAAGCTGACCTTAACATACTGTTAATGAAAGAGCTTTGGTGCCAGACAGACGCGGGCTCGGATCCCCGCTCGGCCACTAACCAGTTGTCATTAGGCACATGATTTAACCTCCTTGTGCCTTTCTCTTCTGTAAAATGGAGATGGTTAAACAGAACTCAGAGGTCTTGTGAGAAAACAAGATGAAGGATGTCCTCTCCCCAGCACAGAGTAGGGGAGCGCCCCACAGGGGTCAGTTCCCATCTTCTTGGCTTCACCAGCTAGGCCCAAAGTGTTGGTTATACAGCTGACAGACTCCAGGTTTGAGGCCTGGGGGTTGGTGGCCTGTTGTGCATGTAGAGTGGGCACTGAGTGTTTGTTTTCCTCAGGTGCTGGGCAGAGTGTTCTGTGTGGGGTCAGGGACTCTGTGGGAGCCCAGCCAGCCGAAAAGAGCCGCTCTGGGGCCCTGCATGGGATGGAATTCACTGGGACGCCCATGCATGGCCATACCAGGTTTTGGACGTGTGTTGCTTGCAGTCCTGCTGAACTTTGCAAAGGAAAGGAAAATTCTTCATGCTGTGCTTGTGAACTTTGAGCTTGTTATCTTCAAAGCCATAAACATGGTCTGCCAGACTATAAAAGGAGCGCATTCTAACCCGTTCGCCCTGCAGCCTGCTCCTTGACACCTGCCACACACCCACGGTAACCAGAGGCCACCACCATGACGAGGGACCAGAATGGAACCTGGGAGATGGAGAGTAATGACAACTTTGAAGGCTACATGAAGGCCCTGGGTAAGGGGGAGACTGGGGCTGGGGGAGGGCGGGCAACGTCCGAAGGATTGGGGTCTGATCCTCCTGCCTCTGTGGGATCCCACAGGCCC